TCCCAAGATTACACTCCAAGACATGGTCCTTCTTAGCATATCATCATCTATGCCCTCTTGTGTCTGAGTCTTCTGCAGATTGTAACCCCTTGCCAGCCCCACCCTTCACTGTATACACCTAATAAATAGTGGTGGCTTGGGGGAGTATAGGAGGACCCATCAGGAGATACTGACTTCCCAGCCATGGATGTATTAGTACCCTTGTCTCTGCTTTTTATTTTTCCCACTGTGGTTTTAAGACACATAACTAGGACTCTTAGCAGGGCTCCCAATAACAATCCAACAATGAACTAAAAAGTGCGTGAACTTTCCCTGCACCCAGAACTTCCAGCCAGCCTTCAAAGGCTGAATCTCAAACAGGAAACCAAAGTCTGAATCTCAAACAGGAAACTAAAGATCACCAAAGCTCTATAGAAGCTTCCTGTGAGACAAGACCAAATAAGCAGAAAGATCACCTTCAAGAAACAAAAATAATTTTGTTTGGAAGACAACACCAAAAAATTATGAAAAGAACAGAAAACTGAGCTGGGCACAGTGATGTAAGCCTGGAACCCAGCATTTTGACAGGGTGAGGCAGGAGGATTGCATGTTCTAGTCCAACCTCAGCAACTTAATAATGTAGTGACTCTGTTCCAACATTTAAAAAGTGCTAAGGATGTAACTTAGTGCAAAAGCTGTGGTTCAATCCCCACTAGCACAAAACACACACATGTGCGTGTGTACACACACACTCACACACATACGAGCATTACACACACACACACACACACACACACACACCAGCATAATGCTTTAAACAAAGAACAACTAAAATAAACATGCAGAATAACACAGAAACATGCCAGTCAAGGGAGACGGTGAAAGTATAAAATTGGTCTAATGGACTGGGCAGCTTTAGCATTTGCACTTTATAAAGTTTTCTTTCTTTTCTTTTATATAAAGTTTTCTTTTTTTACAATGAAGTTTTCTTGGGGAGGGGCCAGCCAGAAGTCTCAAGGAGGAGTGGCTAGAGAGGGGGAGGGGCGGCAGGAAGGGCGGGGCCAGGACCCGGAAGCACTGAATGAGTCAGCACTAGCTCGCAGGGCCCACAGTGCCAGTCCTGTGGTTTTACTTTTCTGGAGTGTGAGAGACCGAAGGAAGTAGCTACTGAAACCAGCTGGTTTTGCAAATTGTGGCTTCCATAGCTTTCCATTTCTCAATACTGAAAGAAATAAGAGAAGTTGCATTTTTTCTGCAAGAACAAAATGTTATTTTTTTTTTAAAAAAAGGAGAAACATTCATTTGGAAGTTGGAAGTCAAACACATGATAAGAGTGGGTGTGGGTGTGGGGGGGGGTGCATGCGTGTGTTGTGCTAGGGTTCAAATGCAGGCATCACTGAAGCCAGACAAGTGCTCTACCATAGAGCCTAACCCTAATCCTAACCCTCAAAATGAAGTCCTATTAGGAAACAGAAAAAACAAGCCAGGCATAGGGACACATGCCTGTAATCCCAGTACTTGGGAGGCTGAAGCAAGAGGATCATTTCAAGTTCCAGACCAGCCTGGGCTACAGAGTAAGTTCAAGCCCAGCCTGAACTTCATAGTGAAAACTTCCACTTCAGAGTGGAGTAAGGGAGAGAGAGAGAGAGAGAGAGAGGAAAAACCAAGCAAACAATTTTCTCCCCCTACCCCATCCTGGGAATTAACTCAGCCTTGAAGGGCAAGCAGCCTACCAAGGAGTTACATCTCCAGTCCTGTTTGTTTAGTGACAAGAACTTGCTAAGTTGTCCAGGCTGATCTTGAACAAAATCCTCTCATTTCAGCCTCTCAGATAGCTGGGGTTAAAGGCATGTGCCACCATGACTGGCTGAATGATAAAATGTGAAAGGGTACTGTTAGCTTAGTGGTACAGTACTTGCTTAACATGCCTGAGGTCCTTGGTTCTATCTCCAGATTGCCCAAAAAACAACTAAAGAGAAAAAAAGTTAAAATATTGCAAAAAGACAAAGTAGGAAATGGAGGGAAAATAAAAGAAAATCTATGAAGTTTTGAATTTTAGCAGCCCAACAGTGGAATTTCCAGGGAGAAAAAAAAAAAAAAACAAAAAGGAAAACATAAATGATGAAATAATTCAAGAAAAAATTCTGGAACTAACGAACACAAATTTCCTAGTTGAAAGAGCTCACCATAATAGTTTAAAAGTTTCCTTACCAAAGCATGTGTTTGTAAAATTTAAGCATCCAAGATGGCTGGCATGGTGGCACAAGCCTGTAATCTTGGTGCTTGGAAGGCTGAGGCAAGAGGAGTCCAGCCTGGGCAATTTAGTAAAACCCTATATCAAAATTTTTAAAAAAGGGGGCTGGGGATATAGCTCAGTGGCACAATGCCTGCCTGGCAAGTGAGAGGTTGTGAGTTCAATTCCCAGTACCAAAAATAAATAAATAAAAAATAAAAATAAGCCAGGCGTGGTGGTACACTCCCGTAATCCTAGCACTTGGGAGGCTGAGGCAGAAGAATGATTCACAAGTTTGAGACCAGCCTGAGCTATAACGTGAGCTCAAGGCCAGCTTGAATTGCATACTGAGACCCTAAGTCAAAAAGACAAACAAACAATAAATAAATAAATAAATAAAATAAAAATAAAAATCATTGAGCATATAGCTTAATAGTAGAGCCTCTACTGGGTTCAACACCCAGTAAAAATGGGTGGGGAGGAATTTAAGATCAAGAAAAGAACCTGAGGATTCCAGAAAAGGAAAACTAGGAAGGGAACACCGAAAAGACTACAGTAACAAAAAGGGGGAACAGGAATCGAAATCGCTTTAGATTGCTCAGTAGCAACACAGGAAGCTAGAAAACAGTCCAGTCATGGTATGAAAATTCAGGCATGGTGGTGCACATCTGTAATTCCAGCACTGGAGAGGCTGAGGCAGGAAGGTCACCACAAGTTCAAGGGCAGCCTGGACTACATAGTGAGACCTTGTCTCAAAAAACCAAAACAAACAAACAAAAAATATTCATCTGACTCAGGGTCACACATAGGCTGGTCTATTAGGAAGAATAGTCAGAGGACCCAGATAAATAGCCATATGTTCCAGGTAGGGAGGGTGACCCTCATGATGCCTGCTTTCCACTATTTTCCAGGAAGCCCTGCACCAGCCCTTTGGGTTGTAAAGGAAGCTTCATTGTATGGGCAAGTTAACCCTTGGGCCAAGGGGGATCAACTCAACTTCAATCATTTTCCCTCCCTGGAGGTAGGGGCAGGGCCATGGTTCAGCCCGCCAAATACCCAGCTGTCCCTGTAACAGACAGCCACCCTCCTGTGGTGGTGTAGAGCCTGTCCAAGTCACTGCCATACAAACCCAGGTGTCTCTGCAAAGGACTTGTTATAAGTCATGGAAGGCCGAGCTTCACTTTTACAGTTCCATAACTGTCAAAAACTGAGGACACAGGCCATTCCCCTGCCCTTCCTAGGCACTGGAGATGGAACCCAATGGGAACTCAGCTCTATCCTCAGCCATTTTTAAATTTTATTCCGAAATAGAGTCTTGCTAATTTGCCCAGGCTGGCCTTGAACTTGTGATTCTCCTGGCTCACCTTCTTAAGTAAGCTGGGATTGTAAGTGTGCACTGTCATTCTCAGCCAGCGGGGCTGAGTAAAGATACCTTGATTTCTTTAGGAAACTGCCAGGGTTATAGGAACTGTGAGTCAGGAACCATGGATGAGAAACAAACTATTTACATAGTGTAGTGCTGAGTAACCAGGGAGAGGCCATCTTGGCCTCCATTTGGATCTACATAAGAAAGGACAATGGTGAGCTCTCTCCTGTCACTGCAGCAAAGCAGCATTCGCTATCACTTTTTGTAACAAGCACAACTATTACACTTGCCCAGACTCGTGCACCTTTTTAGAAATACGCAAATGTCCCAAGGGTGACATATCTCAGGGTGAAAGGAGGAAGACCAGAAGGCCTTGACCACACAGCCTTGACCTTGTCCTCCCTAGCCTTCCCATCTCTTCTACCCTTGGGCCCTACCCACTCCTGCCTCCCAAATTTTCTCCTTCAGAACGCACCATCCTCCCTCCAGGACCTGGCCTACTGTCCTCTCAACTGAAGACTTGCCCATCCCTCTGCTTTTATAACTTCTCTGGGAGCCATTTCTGTGGAAATCAGGGACACAGCTCAGTGGTAGAGCACAATTTTGTTTGGGAGGCAAGAAGGAGATGGAGGTGAATGACTTGGATCAAACCAAGACTTTCCCCCTAAATGTGTTGTCAGTCTACTGAAAGACCACCGAAAGGCCATCTGATCAAGTAGAATTACTCTTTTTAGGCTTAGTACAGTCGGGCAGGACGTTGCCTTGGCATAGCCTTAATAGCACCTAGCAAGGTCCAAGCCAAATGACAGAGCACTTGCCCAGCATGCATGAGGACCAGGTTTGTACCATCTAGTTGTGAGCTAATGTAAAGTCCAGATGGGGACAGCAATCTTTGCTGTGCTAGTTTGGTAGGGCCACTCTGTGTGTGTGTGTGTGTGTGTGTGTGTGTGTGTGTGTGTGTGTGTTTGGAGAGGGTGTTCTACAATGCGGCGACATCAGCCTTGTGTAGTTCTGCAACATAAATCACACCTAAGCAGACTGTGCAGCATTAGCATATGCCCATGTAAGAGAAACAAAGACATAAAAATTGTATAACAGAGTGCAGCTACTACGTCATGCTCAGCAATCATCCTTTCGATCAGAATTTGCTGAGTTGGGGCTGGCTTGAATAAGGGTAATCCTGGAAATAGACCTTGGGGCCCCATCTCTACATTCACATCTCACAACACTGGGATAAGTTGGTTTATTTAAAGGTGCAGAAACAGGGAAATACAGAGATAATAGATATCTACTCTGGATGAGTAGGGAACAGTTGTAAATGAAATGCTCATGGGCTCTTCGTTACAGCTCTTTCATTGGGTTTCTTTGCCCTTGAAGGCTCCTGGAATCTGACTGGCTCCCTACCTTTGCTCCTCCCTTTAGATTTCTTCTGGTGCTAAGGAGTTTTTCCTGTCTGTTGGTGGAGGATAAGATCATGGGTGAAGGTCCTATGGGTAAGTAGTTTAACCTTAAGGAGACGAATACAATGTAAATGTTGTCAAAATGTAGCAGAAAATAGCCCCTCACCAGCCAGTTGTTGCCCAGGTAACAATTCCTGTTATCTCTATTTCTTAGAGGCCACTGGTCACTGTGATGCATAGCTGGTCACTGTGATGCATGTTTTAAGATCCAATCAGAGACAGCCAAGTATTCTACCTCTGTACTTCCCCTCTGCAACCTCATAAAAACTTCTGTCATTGAGCTCTTGAGGCCTGACATTTTTGTAAGGATTAATTTCTTGTTCATTGTGTGTCTAATGTTAAATAAATCTGCCACTAAATCTTAAATGGTGTTTTGGTGTTTCTATTTGCCATTGAAATAAAGTCCCTGAACATGGATGTATAATATCCACATTTATTACTTAGAATATTTTTGTTTGTCTTCAAGACAGGGTCTTACTATGTAGCCCAGATTGGCCTCAAACTCACAGTGATCCTCCTGCCTCAGTATTTAGAATATTTCTTTTTTTTTCTTCTTCTTTTTTTAAATCTTAAAACAAGAAAGGGACTTTATTGGCTCATAAAACTTTGAAGTCCAGAAATAGGCCAGGCCTTAAAGTCCAGAGGCAGGGCAGCTGGATCGAGGACTCCAGGAAAATGATATCAGAACTTAGTTCTCTATTTCTGCTAGCATCCAAGTTTCTCCACAGACAGACTTTCTCCATGTGGCACAAGTTCAGGTTTATGTCATCCTTGCTTCTCTTAGAATATTTCTATTGATGAGTTTAGTTTTAATTTTATGAATTTTATTGCATTGACCAGGAAAATATCAAAAACGAAATACTTTTTAAAATTTTGAATATTCATTTAAAAAGTATCAAAAATTTCAACATTGACTGATTTTTTGGTACAAAGTCTAAAAAAATAACAGAAACAAATTATTATATGAACTACAATTAAAATATCAATAGAACACTACAAAAATTTTTACTTCAATTGTCACATTTAAGGCAGTGACCACACATGGGAATAGTATATTCCATACACAGGCATGCTTGTACTGACAGCACAAGTATCTTGCTTTTCTGGCCCTTTTGTAGGACATACTTGACATCTTGCTGATCTTGCTGTTTTGTTAGGAGGTTCTTATATTATACAATATAATTATATAAGAACAAAATATTAACAAAATGAAATGTTCAATTCTTAATATGTATTGTGTGTGTAGAATACACATCAACATTCTCACATCAGCCGTGTACTTGCTTACTAGGCCTAAAAGATAACATCGGGAATAAATTTGTATGAGAACTACAATGTAAATACAAACAAAACTCTACAACAAAAATAATCTCTGCTTCCACTGTCACACCCAAGGCAGGTTTCACACATGATAACTGAGTGTTCCATGCACAAGTTTTATTTACACTGATAGTATGTTACCATTGCAGGCTTCTGTTTTGTCAAGGTTTCCCTATCAGTATTTCCATCATGGTGTAATACTGATGTCAGCAGTACCACTTTGTTTTTCTTTGCCATATACAAGGCCAATGTTAGATCTTTCTGAAATCAAAGATTGTATTGTATAATTTTCTGTTTTGAAGTTGCAGCACTTCATTTGGAATTTCTGCTTTGTTTCTTCACATTGTTCCTATGTTGGTCAATTGTGCTCAGTCAGCAAATGTGACATCAATTAGAAACCAATGTTAGAATTAGGTTCAAAAAATGTAGTGAGGATCTTTGAATCCTGTGGGACTGAATGTCAGCATTGCCATTCAATATCTGGAATTGTAACAAATGAGATGGTACAAGATACATGAAATGTACAAATTCTGAAATGCAAGTAAAATGTTCTGCATGCACCAATTCACAATTCTTTACAGAGGAGAGCATTGATTAACATATCAATTAGGTCACCCAGAGGGGGAAAAATGCATACAAAACAGTATGGCCACGTTACAGGTATTTTGGTATAATACAAATACAATAAAGCTCTTTTTGCCAGTGTACAGCAATAATAAGTTTTTGCATCTACAGGGGTATAAATTTTTATGCCATATTTTGAAGGTTGTTTGGGGAATATACTGCCTGAAATTAAAATGACCAGGAAATGCTGACAGCTAGTCACCATTAGTCTTATATCCAGATGATGTGTAAATTGCTTGACAATCACCCACAAATCTCTCAAATGGTGAATGGATAACAACCAGATTATCAGCTGTTTTTCTTTCTTGGTAGATTGCTTTGTCATCAAACCTCAGGTAACTTCAAGGAAACCAAATTTCCTCAGTTCATCATTATTCTACAAAACCTCAAGCTCATATCCATCACTTTTCCATCAGTCTTTTACATTTATGCAATGACCAGGAGAAAGTCCTGCTAAGTAAGAGGACCTATGAGTGCTTTCAGATCAGCTAGTGAGTTGTCATAATAAATACACTTTTGAGTTTGATAACTCTTGGTATCCTGCTTGCCCTAACAACAGGAATGCATCACCATGCCCAGCTATTTTTATTTCTTTTTCTTTCTCTCACCCTCTCTTCATTGTTTTAGACAAGGTCACTATGTGGCCCAGCTTGTTTTCAACTCAAGATTCTCCTGCTTCTCAGAGCTCAGCTATGAACTGCTGCTCACATCAGAACACTGCCTACAGTAACCAGAGCTCCAACTCCAGCTGTTACAGGCAGCTGAGTTAGTTAGAAATATTATAGGCAGTGAGACAAGGCTGGGTCCTCAAAAGAGCCAGTGCAGAAGCCCAGATACCTTGTAACTGTGGGGGAGACAGACACCCCCCTGCTGTGGGCCAGGCCTCAAGACAAAAGATCAAACGAATATACCCACATCCTAAGGACTGATATTCTAAATAGGTCTCTATTACTCTGAGAAAGCCTGAAGTCACCATCTCAACTCCCTGCAGAAGAGTCACTGCTCCCTAAGAATGCCTGCTTTCTATATGACTCGACTCCTCATTAGTCTCGGATTTACTAAGTTTTACCTGAGCAATTAATCTTATTGGTTAACCATAATTCTGTCCCACCTTATGCCCATCTGCCTTGTGAATTCCCAAGTTTTCTCCACCTTGAACCCCTCTCACCACATTATTTTACTCTATAAAAGTCCCTGGAAAAAGACAAGAGTCTTTGGCAACCCACTTGGGACAGAAGCTTTCTCTCTCTCAGTAAATATATTCTGCTCTTAACCTCTATTGTTCTTAAAATTCATTCTTCAATTTTAGAGAACATGAACTCATACCAGACATGTAGTAAGTCAGGAGTTTTATTCCCCGTCTCAGAGCCAGCCCTGCCACGTGATATGTGATGGCCAGCAGGCGTTGAGGAAAGGGCTGCAGGGCACGCGAAAGCCCCCACTCTGGGGCAGCTGCTCAGTGAGGCTCAGCCACGCCTCCTCGTCCCCCTTCTTGCAGTTCAGGGAAATACTATGTCTTACACGCTTACAGCATCACTGGGCTCAGTGGGAATGGAATCAGAACCAAACACCGAGAACAGCAGTCACACACAGTGAAGTTTATTTGTGGTAGGCAAAGAGATCATAGAGAACCACTTTGCTGCCATCCAGGACAGTAAGGATAGATGGCCTGCGCAGATACAGTGCGCACCAGCACAGGTGCAGTGTACACCTGTACAGGGACTGTGCGAGACCCGCGCAGGCGCAATGCGAGACCATCGGGGTCTCACTTCGGGTTGCTAAGTGAAGCGTGGAAGCTGCTTACCTGCTAAGGGCATGATCTCTGAGGGGGCAGTGGGGCAGGCTGAAGCTGTCTACTAAAGAAGAGTGGGTGTGGCAGGGACTTCAGCTTGAGGGGAAGAAGAGCTAAAAGGGCCTGCACTGTTTGAGAGGATCAGCCTGGCCCAGTCACCCAAGGAAGGGCAAGTCCCAGGTATCTTGAGTCTGGGGTTTGGGGTATTTATTCATTTTGTAGCAGAAACGTTAAAACTCACAGCCTGACACTATGTCAAGGATAAGATATGCAGGTACAGCCCATCTCATAGTTGAACTGTCAGGCTCCGCCTTGATGTAGCACATGGGCTGCACTTGACAAGATAACATAGCCAATCTGCACCACCCACCTGTAAGACACCCTGTTGTGCTGGCTTGATTCACAGAGTTACCCCCGGGACAGACTAGCCCCATCAAGGACATGATTGATTCTACCCACTTGCTCAAGCTCCTGACCTTCCTGCCATGTGATAAGCAACACTCACCAACCAAACCAAACTGAAATGAATCTGCCTAGCTACCTATGACAAAACATACCAAACTAGTTATAAAATAACATGCTATCAACTTTTGTACTTCCTGCTTGCAACATATGTAAGTTTCTGTTTTACTCTGAGTCAGGGCTGGTGATTTGGAACTGGATACCCACCAGCCTGCCCACAGAATGAAGCTGTTGCCTTCCAAATACCTTGGTGCTGTGTGTCTTCCATTCAGTTCAGTTCCAGTTCTGCAACAATCAGTGTGGTACTGGAGTTGATCCCAGGGTTTTTGCACTGGACTACATCATCATATTTTGATTTTGATTTTGAAACAAGGTCTTTCTAAATTGCCCAGGCTTGTCTCAAACTTGTGATCCTCCTGCTTCAGCCACCCAGCGTGCTTGGATTAGGAGCATGCACCACGAAGTCCAGCTGAGTATGGTATTTTTTAGAAACTTCCTCCTGGAGTTTTAGGGGATTTTCTTACTAGATAGGATATGGGTGAGCAGCTACTGTCACCCTTGGGCTGTCATGGCCTTTATGGGCATATAGGAATTGAGAGGGTGAATTCCTACATCCTACACAGAGGATTGTGGGAAAACATCTTCACCTGTAGTGGATAACAGGTAATGAGTCAAGGCCCAAGAATCCCTCCATCTCTGGTTCTTGTTCAGGTCCCAGCCCCATTCTAGGTGTAAGTTTGGATATAACAATTGTTGTACTCTAAGAAAATAGCTTCATTATATTTGTATTATAGCAAATTACCTATAACATGGCCATATCATATATATGTTTTCCTTCTCCCTCTGGGCAACCTAATTGATATGTTAAGCAATGCTCTCCTCTATAAAGAATTGCAAAATCTTACCTAATTGATATGTTAACCAGTGTTGCCCTCTACAAACAACAGATGTGGTGCTAAAACAAGCTAACAGGGGTTGTTAATCACTGTTAGACTTCTCTATTCTCTGCTGAGGAAACCAGGATGTTTTCCTAATTTAAACTTGTTTGAAGTAACTTGCTTGTATGCAGGGAGACTTGCTTGTTGGCATAACCCTTACCTGACCTTGTTACCCCCCCCCAGAAGAAAAAAAAAAGTAATCTCGCCATATTTCTGTTCTGTAATGCGCCATACTGCCTCCCCTTCTCCCTTCCCCCTACCTATCTATCTAGGTTAAGTTTCAATTTCCTGAAAAGCCATAAAGACCTTAGGTTTCAGTTTCTGATAACCGCTTCTCGACCTGGTGGTGGTCTGTCATAAAATGTGCCTGTTATAAAATGTGCCAATTGCACTGTTCTTAAGAAATGCTTAACTTCGAAGAAATTACAGGAAGAATGTTATGGCTTAACCCCAACCAATGCTCTCCTTTTGTTCTGTATGCATCAAAAAGGTTAAGTTCCAAATCCTTGTAAAAACTTAAGTTTCAGCTCCTTGTAACTTTCGACCCCTTCACACCTGTTAGCGATAATGAGCTGTCCTGAGATAATTAACTTTCTACTTTCTTCTCCAAATGTTATTGCAGATGTGCTATTCCAAGATAATGCTTATCTGAAGGATGGGAGTAACTTGAAAGGCACCAAAGGCTCCTGATGTCAGAACTAAGTGGACAGCTTTACAGTTTCCAGATTTGGGTCAACAGCTTAACAGCTCTGCAGGTTTCTTTTGTCCCCCCCCCCCCTCCAGCTTTTAAAAACCCCTTCTTCAGTCTCAGGTGTGTGCAGCCTTTGGGTTGATCCTGGAGACTGTGCTACCAGGCCTGGAAATAAAGCCTTTGTTCACCAAATTTCAGTCTCTTGCTTCCTTGGATTTTATTCTGGGGCCCAAGTTATCACAACAATGAAGTAAAGTTCATCTCTTCATCACCAGTGCTCACTAGTGCACTGAAAAACAGCTTTGGAGCTGAGGGTACTGAATGGGAGAGAGATGAAGCAGGGTACAGGCTCTGTACTCTGTGTCCTGCTTTCTCAGGCTCCGCTCTGATAACAGTACACAGTGAAGAAACTATAGGTATGTAGCACAAGCGGGGTGAGGCAGTTGTCCCAGTACATGGCTTCAGTGTTAGGCAGGTTCGAGTTTAGCAAGACCCATCATTGGAGCTAGTCCTGAAGTGTACGAGACAATTTGGGCAGCTTCCCTTGAATGCAGAACAATTGCATCAGCGTTAGTTAAATCAAATCTTACTTCCATATACTGATATGGAGCAGGCTATGCTATTCCCTTCTCTTTTCAATTGACTCTAAATGATGCAAATAAAGTTAGCTGAGGTACTAATATGTAATCTTGAGGCCAACCTGACAGTCTCTTTTTTGCTCACATAGTGCTCTCTGTAAAAGATCTGAGTACAGATGGATGGCAAAGCGACCTGCCTCCAGGAATCACAATTGGCTATGAGCTTCAAAGTAAAAGGCTATGACTCCCCAGAGCACAAAAGTGTACATATCAGAAACTCAAGCAACAGCCTCCTGAAACAATTCAAATGCTACCCTAATTGACTTATGCAGACTGATCTTTCTGCATATCATTCTCCTTGCATGTTGTAAAAATGCCTCCTTGCTAGGCAGCCCTAGTTACTTGTATAGTTTCTGCCATCCTCCCTGTCACTCATCTTTGAACCACTCCTTTCTTCACAAGATAATAAATTCTAGAAGAGGCCTTGGTTCAAGGCCTTTGTCCATATAATCTCGCTGGGATTAGGTTTAGAACCTCTTGGCCCCCATAAATTTAGGAACTCATAAATTAGAATATCTCTTGTTTTCTTTGCTCTCTCCATGGATTGCATCAGAGGCATCAGGTTGGAATTAACTTGCTGGAATTCCAATAATATTTCTATGGGATTACAAATATAACTTCCCAGATTGTAAAGTGGCCTAGAAAAAGAATTACAATAATTGGATTACAATATATAATATTTAGATTATAATATTCAATATTGGGACTTTAATACTAAAGTATATATTCCTTGGTTTTCATTTTAACACAAAAATGAATGGCTTAACTCATGATCTCCAACCATGAAAAAAATTACATTAAGAAGGAGGAGAGGCTGGGCACTGTGGCACACATCTATAATCCCAGCACTCAGGAGGCTGAGGAAAGAGGATCACTGTGAGTTGGGACCAGCCTGACTACATAGTGAGTTCAATGCCATGCTGGACTACATGATGAGACTCTGATTCAAAAAGAGAGGTGGTGCTGAGAGGGTTTAGTCATAGCCCAAGGAGCCACGGCAGCTCCCAGTGGTCCAGGTAACTGGGAAACTACAAAAAGAATATAATGAGAGGAAGGAGAATTTAACATGAGAGAGGATCCCGAGTAGTCCATGGGGGCAAGAGTGGAGCTGGAGCCAATGGAGACCAGGATCTCCATGGGGACTGGAAAACAAAGAACTCCATTGCCTGCAAGTCATTAGAAGCATGGGTTTTATTCTCTCCTGACAATCATAGACTTAAAACCCATTTTTGCTGTGAACCTTTGAACTCCTGACCTGTTAAATGTCAGGCGTCCACGTTCATGGTCTCATAACAACAAAGAATAAAGCTGTGAACCAAAGGCAGAAGTTAGAGTTTTCCTGGAAATGAGAAGAGTAGCTCTTGGACCTCTAGGAGGGTTCTCTGGTGGGCTGGCCCCTGAGGCCTTTTTATCAGGAACAATGTGTTCCACAAAGTCACGATGTGGGTACAACATGGGTCAGACTACAATCAACCTGTAAAACTACAGTCGAAGCTGCTTAGCTGATATTGGCCCAGTAGAGAAGTGGGTCACCTAGTAAGGGTACATGGAAAGAACAAAGGCATCTTGGGGAGGGAGGGGGTTTGGGTCTGGCTGTTCTGGTCGCCCTCCTACGTGACTGGTGCCTACCTGGGCCCACTGGACTTGGGGGTGCTGATTGCAATATAATCCCAAACTGCTGTTTGTCCCCAGGAAGCTTCTCAAGCCTGGCTACTGTGTCTTAATCTTGAGGTCTGACTTTCTTCAGATGCTCCTCCAGCTGCCATTCTATCTTTTATTTTTCTGCTGACTTCCTCGAGGGCCCAGTCCCCCCCTGGCTGTGCATTACTTTCTAACTTAGCTCCCTGTAGTACCATGATCTTTCGCTTGGCCAACAGATGCCCAGCAGGTAACTAACAGCAGAACAAAACCTGAACTTATTTGCATCCTTCGTCCCTGTAAATCTTGGGTCATATCACATCTCAGCTATGCAGAGTGACAGGTTGGAGAATCTGGCTAGGGGCTGCAGACAGGGTTGGCATCCCTGAATTTACATGAGTTTGTTCCCTTCAAATATGAGGACACAAAGATAAGAGGTTTTCAGAGACATTCAATGACAGAAACCTCTTGCCTAAACAGGGATCATCAGGATATCAGGAAAGGCAGCACCCTATGATTGAGACACCTGCAGACAGAGACATCCTGCCTGCAGGTGAAACTGTCGCAGAGCTGTGATTTCAGGACAGAGATAATCAGTGGGATCCCAGCCTGCCAGCCAGCTAACCCTTGAAGCTGGCCTTCCACCTTGGGAAGTGATACAGTCTAAAGCCCTGTATCATATCGCACTCCCTCTGGTTACCTAAGCCACAGTCCTTTCCTGTCATCCCTTTATCCAATTAAAGTTTTTCCTGTAAATTTGTGCTTTGGTTTATTTCCATCTCTACTAAAGCAAGGACCCTTGCCAGCCTGCAGCAGCAAGGCATGCACCTGGATGGAATGAGGTACCCCAGGTAGCCAGAGTCCCGAAAGGCCACATCCATGAAGGAGGCTGTGCAGACCCTGAGAAGGGCAAGGGCTTTGTGAGAAATGGAGACTGAGGCAGGGAGCCAGGGAAGGAAATGCCTTGGGAGGTTGAGGGCTGAGATCCAGGCAGTGATCTTGGTCATGGCTGCCCACAGGAGCAGTCACTTTGTCACATAAAAGTTGAGGTAAGATAGAAGAAGTAAACATAGGTAGAAAGGAGACAAAATCATAATCCTTCAGGCCACAAAGTTATCCAAGGTGAATTGTTACTCCCAACCAGGCATGGTGCTAGATACCTATGAGGGGAAGTAGGAGGTTCACAAGTTTGAACCCAGTCTAAGCAATTTAGGGAGAACCTGTCTCAAAATAAGAAGCATTGGGCCTGGGATATAGCTCAGCAATGTAAGTGCCTGCCTAGCAAACACAAGGTTGTGAGTTTGATTCCAAGTACCCTCCACCAAAGTTCAAAATAAAGAGTTGGAAGTCAGGTATGGTAGGGTATGTCTATAAACCCTCTACTCAAGAGGTTGAGGCAGGAGGATCACCATGAGTTTGAGGATTGCCCAGGTACATAGTAAGTTCAAGCCCACCTGAACTGCACAATGACCTTGTTTCAATAAATAAATAAATAATAATAAAAATGGCTGGTGATGTAGCTTAGTAAGAGGCCACCCTGGGTTCTATCTCTAGTACTGCTTAGCCCAAAAAATCTTTTTCTTTCTTTCAGGCTTCCAGGCTACTCACTCTTAATTTAAGTCCTTTTTTTTTTTTTTGAGGTGGTTGGAGGTTGGGATGGGATCTGGCTATGTCATCCAAGCTGGCCTTGAACTCACTCTAGCCCAGAATGGGCTGGAACTCATGGTAGTCCTCCTGCCTCACAATCCCCAGTGCTGGTATTAAAGGTGTGCAGCACCGTGCCAGGCCTAAATCTCTGAAATTTAAGACAGGCTGTGCTGGGTGCTTTTCCTCTGTAAGAAGAGCCTTTCACCTGTGAATGGCCCATCACCTCGCACCCTTTCTCTAGATTCACTAATTCCACTGATTTTGCACCTCCCAAACCCATAAATATTCCCAGACTACACCATATCCCACTCTGTAAGTGCCAACACTTCATTCAAAGTATGTACATATCTATTTATGCCAAATTCATTTTCCCGTGCTTCTTACTGGCAGTCCCTAAAATTCTATGTGATGGGAGTCCGTGAAAGTCTGTGAGTGGATGAGCTGAGTTCCACATCTCCTCTTTAGAACACTCCGCAGACTCCATCTGGTGACACAGGTTGGAAGAGATGAGATGATAACCCAATAAAAGCAAGAGTCCTGGGAGAATGCAAATTGTACTGTGTGTTTGTGAGGGCACTGCTATTCTTGACATTTGGTGGCTGGCCAGAGATGATCAGGCTGTTGGATGTTCACAGCCATGACTGGCTAAGCCATGGGTTGCAAGGTTTGCTTTCCCTTAGGATGGGAAGAGTGTGAAGTTCACTTCTGTGACTGGGGCATGATGTGTGGCAGCTGCACTGTGTGTAGTGAAGGGGTTACCGGTAGTGAGGAAATACAGGCAAGTCAAGAGCTCATGGGTCATTGTCAGGGAGCAGCTGGTGAATCCATGAAAGGCCCAAATGTGTCTGGGTGAAAGGCTGAGGCTTTCATATTTTATTTTGATGAGAGGAGGGAAACGTCTTCCTATGAATGCTGTCCTCAGGTCCTGGTGGCACCATTGTCCTCCTCAGCACTTGAGGACAGCCAGGTGCTGTTGGAAGACCAACAAAATGTTCTTCTTCAGCAAGGCTCAGTGTCATTGGCAGTGCTAGAAAGTCAGATTAGTTAACAAGCATGTATTGTTAACAATAGCACTCAAGGGGTCAGAATAAAGCACCTATGTTAGCACTTGCAAGGAGCTTTTCATGTTATATTAGGATAGAGCAAGAAATGTTATTAAAACTCCACTATCAGGAACCTGGCGAAGATCCCCAACTGCCTGTATAAGGGGTGCTGTATAAGGGGTGCTCTGAAATAAGAATCAGAGAC